CAATCTCGTGTATACCTACGCGTGGGTTGGGGCGATTATTCGCACCGTCAAAGGGTATATTATGGTCTTTGAACGTTTGTTCCTACACAACCCCTCGTCATCAAACACCCCCAACCCCATCACCCGTGACCCTGATGAATCGCCGCATATTCAGACAGCAGTCGTAGTTCGTTCCGCCGAGGCGGATTTAATAAAACGTGTCGTCGCGGGCCCTAAGGTTCAGTACGGTTCAGCGCGCGGCAAGAGACGACGGCCGTCCGTCCATCCGCGAAAGGGTTACGCGAACAATGCCGGACTTCGCTCGTCTCCGCGACGTTATATAATAATATGTGTGCGATGACGACGATGACGACAATGTATATATATATTGCAGTGTACACAATAATGGAAGATAATACGCTATTTCGGCATTCCAAAGACATTCGCGTCGCCTTTGAATTAACTGCCGGCAGAGGAGACAGCGCCGATCCGCTACGTCGTCACAATGTCATATCGTAGTATTGTCATAATGCATTTTTACGACTGGAATTCAAAGGAAATCGCCAAAAATACATTTTAACACTTTGTTACTGATGCAGGATAATACGCAACCTATAAACTAGCGATGTAAATTAGTAACTTACTTCTATGGACTCAGTACTTAATAGTGACTAAAAATAGTTAGATATACGATAAGACACGAGATGACTTTGTGATGACGGATACAAACAAAAACTATTTTAGAACACTAAAATATAGTTAAGGTACCGTGTTCAGGATATATCCTATTAGAAAACGAATTATCACATAATTATTATTTTTTTTAGGAGAAACTATACAATCTATATCATGGACATAATAAGCAGTATATGTGGGTTAAGAAAAAAAAATAGAACATAATTTGGGAAAGAAGCCACCCATTGATGACACTTTGAATTTGATTTGGTCTTGTGTATTTTTATTTTATGGTTTTTTTTTCAATGTAATAAATATCGGCCCCATTTACGTTTAAGTCGCCTTGGGGGCCACCAGGGATTGTAAACGATATCAGCTGAATGGTACGATAATAATAATAATTATAATATATGGCACACGTTATGCAATGCAATATTAAATTATGTTTGAACGGGATGTGTACTTGCGCCGGACAACATATAATATTATTGTGATAGATATTATATTGTATGATGCCACAGTGTATAATTACGAGGTCCCTGTGAACAAACAATAATAACCCGACGACGTTGGTGTACGCGTGTTCGATAAATAAACTACGAGTCCTTTTCCTCCCATCCACACCGAGCCAATTCTTTTTTGTTTTATACTTACTACCTATAGTTGTGTGGCACATACAGTCCACCGAAATGTGTAATTAAAAATGTCCGTTTACACCGACTGTGCCTAACGGAACCTGGTACCAATACGTATATATATACATATACATATATATATACTATAAAAAGTCTTAAGTATACTGCTGTATCGTACACAAACATATCGTCTGTATAATACGTTGTAGCTTCTGGCCTCTCGTGGTTCTATCAGTGGCATTATCGCACTATCGGATCTTTCCAATTACCGTTCGTAGGTATCAACAACAACATCAGTTTAGCCATATTGCAGGTAGGTACACCCTTTTCGGCCTATCTATTGCATCGTTTGATTAAAAAATTGGTAATTACCTATTTTCCAATACTTAAGCTACGCCCTACGCCCCTACTGCAATGTGGGAAAGCCAGAGCAACTACAATAAAAATATATCGAAAATGAGGTTTTAAGTAATATCGTAAATTAAATCATTCTGCGTGCTATAATTTAACTAAGGTGAACACAGGAAAAACGACATCTTCTAAGTAATTTTCTCAAAAATGTTCTCAGTTATGAGAAAAATATCAAAAGTAATTTATTCGTCCCGAAATAAACAGAATTTTTGAAATTTCTGAAATAAGTACTTTAAATATTTATTTAATTTAGAAAGAAAAAAAACAGCTTTATTTTCCTAAAATTTGATTTTTGTGGTTACTGTTTTACCAGCAGCAGACCAGTACAAACACACTGCAGTCGCGGATTTTGGCGATTTAAATGGCCGATAACTACACTGAAATAATAATAAACAATTTACATTCTACGTGTTTATTGCGTATACATTGCTACGTCATTCTATGCATTCTGTATGAGCTACAAATACGACAACAATATATTATTGTTATTAATGATCTACACTATCCGTTGGTCGGACGAGTCAATTAGCGCCGAAATGTCGTAATATTTTTTTCTAACTGAAAATGCATAAAAACGTATACACAGGTCGTGTGCGAACTGCAGTGAGCACGTGGGACGCTGTTATAGCATATAAAACGGTTTTGTTGAATATATTATTATGTAATATGTGTGTATGTTTCAATGTACGAGCTAGTAACTTTTTATTTTAGCCAAAGTCAGTAGAAAAATGAAAAATAAAATTGTATATTTTTTTTTCTGTCGTCGTTTGAACCCTCCACGGATATACTATACGTGTCGAAATAACTTGTACGAACGCCAAACCCGTACAAAATATAAAATAGTCATAAACCGTCTACGCTAATACGTCATTATTGCGCTCGGCATGCATGTATACGTCATGTTATATTATTGCACATTCATATATAAACGAAAAACAGTTAAATAATAAAACACGCGAAATCGTTCTGGCGCATTTATGACCAGAGAGCTATTAAATTTGATTTTAGCATTTTTTTCCTCTCTATCACCCTCGTCTACACACACACATATACAGACACATAAACAGACACATACCCCTACAGCGTCGTCGGTCTAGTCCCGGCCTGCAACGGGTCATAAAAATTTACCCGGCCACGGCGTTTGGTTTGAGCACGTTTACGCTTTCGGATTCTGATGAAAATTGCATATAATATTGTGTACAGTGCGTTTATTTTTATACTTTCACTTCGCCGGGGGATAAGAAATCGGAAGCTCAAAACGTCCTTCGCGAGCAGAACCCCAAACAAATAATTCGATTTGTGTGCATTGCATATACATATACAATTATACATATATAGTATATATACACGGGGCCCCCGTTTCGTTCGAGATTCCCGACGAGCGAGGCGTACATTCTTTATTTCTTCGCATCCATGTTAAGATCCTTATGCCGAGATATTATATTATTATGTAAATAACGCGGCCGTCCGTTTCCGATACCGGGGAACACATCCGGTGGTCATCCGGAGGTCCGTTTTGCATGCATAAACATGGAATTTATCGGTTTTCTATATAATATATTATTATGTGTATGTATATTATTATTCGTCCGTCGTCGAGCGGTGTACATTTTGTTGTACACATTATCTAATAATATTATACGGGATTTGCGCCGGCCCTCTTCTTCGCCGCCACTACGACATTGTCACGACCATTTCGTCGCGTCGTCACGGACGAGGGGGAAAAATAAGAAATAATTTCCAAAAAGAACGGTCGGTCAACATGTGTACAAATTATTCAATTACCGACAATAACTCGAATATATATATATACTTACTGCAGACTGCAAGAGTATAGAGAAAAAAATACCGGGGGAGTTATTGGATTGTCGACGGATAAATGCGACATAGAGCCATCCGAGCGCAATAAATAGCGAAAGACTCCCCGACATTTTTATGTGCCGGATTTCATTCAATAATAATTTCGAGACCATTACCTTTAATATGTTTCCGGTTACGGTTTTCGACGTAGCTTCTTCGTTTTTTTTTTTTTTGGTCCTACCGAGTTGTTTTCAAACACGAGAAACAATTTCCAGAAAGCAACGGGAGCCGCTTGACGTCTCCAATATATATATATATATATATAAGTTTATCCGCACGGAAAACCCATTCCCAGAAAACACATATCGTTTGTATTAAACTATCACGCGGAGAAAAAACAAATTCCTAGCAATTTTATATAGCTATTGCCTTTGCAATATTATGTATGTATAATACAACATATACGTACCAATAAAAGTTATATTAAGAGATTTTTAATTTATAATATTTCATATAAAATAGTATACAACAATTTAAAAAAATGCATCGTAATTTGGCTTAGGTACCTACGTGTATACAATGTCTTTGATCATTGGTTAAAAACTTATTGTGGTCACTGGTCATGGTGATTTGAAAATTATAGTGATGGTATTAATCCACCGACATATTTTATTATTTGTAAAAACGGTCCAAGTATAATAAATACTAAATCCAACATTACACCTATTTTATATTTTTGTTATAAAATTTTTAAGGAATATTATCCTTAGGATAAACATTTTGATAACTGAGAAACTGCTTGTTTGAAATTTGAAATTTGAATAGTACATGAAAATGTTCATGAAAATTATTCACTAAGTAATTTAAAATAAAAAAGATATTGAGGGGGGTTCTTTTTGAAAACAGAAGTTTGTAAAATAGTTCAAGAATTTGAATATAATTATTGTCTTTAAGTACATAATATATAATATCATGATATTGTAACTTCCAAGGCTAGTCAGCCGACAAGTCAACGGGAAATCGATATTACTATAATTTATAATATTTCTACTGCTCATAGATGTTAGCCTTTATGTACGATTGAAGAAGCTCGTATAACACCCGGACATATCGACATCGCTCTACGTACACAATAATATATTACGACGATCGTCTTTGTTACTCGGCCGCAGCTGTTCTATATTGTATACAATACCTAACTAATACCTAAGCAATGATAATATCTGCGGCTGGTGCGACTTAACGCTCAGCTTTGGACAATACGTGTGTGTGTATATAATACGGTATTATATTATAATTGGCGCGTCGTCGTCTCGGGCCGCGTATACGCGTGGTAAATATAATTCAAAAGCGACTACGATGGGGTCCATTCACGTCGCGTCCAGAGGGGATAATTGGTCGAAACGTGCAATGCACACACACACACACACACACACACACGTTCCGAGAGAGGGTGAGACAGAGACAGAACGAGAGAGCGTGCTTCGGCTTCTGCTGCTGCTACCGACCATCACCACACGTTTCCCGAGTATAATCCCTCTGGCCCTGGGTCCGGGAAACCTCTTTAAGACAATGCGCGCGCGGGGCGGGGTCTCGGCGAGTCCCATGAGAATCGCGCGAAGTCGCCGCCGTCGATCTCTTATCGATTCGCTGCCGTCCCTTATTATATTTGTTTCGCGGGTCCTCGTACGTCCCGCACTCGCCCGGCCAAGGACCATGGTACATGATTGTTCGGGGAACGATAATGGCTGCGGGACTAGATTGATTGAGAGCTGTGGACCGGACCGTGCCACCGTGTCTGCGGGCACGTCTGCGACCGACCGTCGTGAGGACAGGTGGAGGTGGCGATGGAGGCGGCGGACTCTTCTGCGGTGGCAGATATCGCGATAATGAGGCGTAGTCGGCGGGATGTCCGGCTCTCGGTTTGTCACGTCGTTCGAGTAATAATTCCGTTCGGTCAGGGAGACGTGGTGGCGGCATTCGTCGAGTGGCTTTACCCATATTTCCCAGCGTAGGTATATAAGAGGAACCCCGTTAGAAACGTCAACGAGAATGGCGTACCTACGTGCATTCAACATTCAAGTTGTAGATGTGTCCGAAAAATTTAAATTAATTCATTTTGTCGTCAAACCAAAACGTGACAACACCGCGTGTCAGCAGAGAGCGCACCTCGATTTCAGTTGACAGTCGCTGGAAGGATTTTTTTACATAGTCACTCTGTTAAAGAAGTTAACGGTAGAGATTGACTTTATTTGATTTATTACTTTAAGGTCGTGTTATTATTCGTATTAAATATCATATTCAGATGAAGTTAGTCTTGTACTACAATTTCTCAGTAAATCCACTACTCACCCACACACCTACGTCTTTAAAATTATTAGGCAATTGCACTTCAAAATCACGGTTAACCAGCCACTATATACACATCTATACATTACGTTATTCAGTTACAAATAATATTGGTGGAGTTCATCGCTGATTTTAAGTAATTCATATTATATACTATATAATATCGACAAAACTAAAAGTTTAATTTTCAAAAGAACCCCTTTGTCATAACAATAACACTTTAATAACGAGAAATGATAAAATCCGTTGGCGCACTTACAATTTTTTGTTATCGTCAGTATGCATTTTAATCATAACGAGGATCAAAATATTTTATTATTGTGTGGTGGATAATTTCTAATTAAAAACGTAGGCAGGTATTACTTCCGTGCCATATCTCAACAAAATATAATAAAGCGTAGTACCAACATTGTTGAAAAGGTGTACATACTGTATACATATATTTTTTTACATTTCTCATTAATTTGATTTCAAGCATAATAACGAAATCGATCAGAGTCTGTATGCGTGTTGCGTGATACGCGCATATCGTTGAACGATTTTTTTAGTTTTCTATTTCTGCCGTCTCTTATAAGAGCGCGGCGCAGTAAAGTCTTCAACTAGAAGCCTCGGGATCAGTTATCGCTATGTTTATAGCAGCGAAATGTGGACTAAAGCTTTCGGTAATTGCGTGTGTATGTGAAAACCCCAGAGAGTAATAGCGGCACACGGATATAGGGAGATAAAACGGTGGGAGGGGGTTGCCTATGGTAGGAAACCGATCTCAAGCCGGCCGTGTGATTTGATAGTTTGTGTTCAACGATTAAACCAGCTAATTGCAATCTTATGCCTGAAATGATACTCCAAGTTTTGCTCTGACGCCTCTGTACACAATGCCGATTAATTAGCGATTTCCGACATAAGAGGGGAAACATTGTTCGGGCTAGGATCCACACGAAACTGTTGATATGGCAATAATTCAAATAGTGTATATGAAAAGAAGAATAAAAAAATTTCGAAGGGATTCAATGGAGTAGGGATTTTGATGATTTTGCCAAACCGACGAAAACTTGTAATATCTAAGTGAATGTTCTGGATTTTATTTCAAAATCCTGCTGCATAAATCAAATTGAAAATAATAGGAAAAACTAAAATTATTATTTTATAGAATATTGCATTGATAATTAGGTATATAGGTACTTAATAACTAATGAGTAATAATATAATATTCAGTTTTGTTAATGTTTTTAATCATATGCCATAAAACGTTTAATTTAAAGTTTTATATTTTTTGCATTTAGAAATATAATAATATACACTTGAATTATACGCCATTTTCTATTTTCATTTTTCCGAAATTAATTTTATATGAAGTTCATTTTATTATTAGAGTGAAATGAGTAAAAGTTTTTTATTTTAACGTTTTTAATTAAAACATGATAGTAATAATGTTAGGTAGGTACCCATGTATAGTACGTATATTACATATACCATTATATTATAATATATACCAAAATAATAATAAAACCACTCTAATCATGTCTCGAGTAGTTTGGAAATGTTCACATATCGTCTTATATTACGTGTACCTTTTTTAACCCGATTAAAAAAAAATTCCTTCCTTCAATTAATTAACGTTCCATTCAGGCCTTTCAAAATGAAGTACAAAAAACAATCTGTTGTCCGCCCCTCAACAACCAACCACCCACCCGTCATAACTACGGCCGTTATTAACTTGAAAACCTATCGGAGGATGAAAATTTCACGCACGAATGTTTTGAAATAATTACCAGCCTAAAACCTTCGTCCGATGGAGAATACTTATATTTTTCGAGCAACTCGATGTGGCTAGTGCGTAAATAATAAAAATAATAATAATGATAAAAATAAAAATCTTAGGAGTTGATGACAGACGGCTCGACTGCAGGTCCTTACGAAATTGATCGAAATTGACGTTCGCTAATAGTGCGTTTTCCTAGAGGAAATATGTTTTTTATCTTTCATTTTTTCGGCAACCCTCTTTAAGTGATAGAAATCTCTATAACCTTTCTTGATAAAAAGTCAGTGGAAAAAAAAAGTTGATTGTTAAACGAATTGGCATTGTTGACGCATTTGTACCCCCCCGCGGGCCGAGAAACGTCATAGGGAGTGTGTGTAAGGCGATCCGGAGCGTTTATCCGCTTCAGGACGTGTGTACAGACGTGTTCCCCAGGCGACACTTGGCATCTTTACCTCGTGTCTAAGAGACCGTAGACGCTCGTTTACAGTGACGTCGGCTCAAAGGAGCGAGTAAAATGGAGGAAATATACGTGAGCGAAACATTGTCCCTGTTTATAAATAAATAAAGAGTGTGAATTTGTTATTTTTTTGTTTTTGCATATTTTTAGTATGTGCGTCCTATGCATATAAATATAGGTACTGTCAAAATACGCTCTAAATAATATCCAAAACCCGCCATAAGGGGTGTTGCAAATACGACAACATTTTGTGTTAAAATACATATTTTATGATCTGTTTGGTAACTATTGATGATGACGCGTATTTCATCGAATAATAGAAAAAAAATACTCATGCCACGAAAGGTGTAAAATTGATTATTTTGTGTAGCTTATGATAATGCCTATTTATTATTAACAACTTTAGGTTTCTAGAAAGCGAACAAATCATACAATCGAAACAAATTGTAGTTATCAGGAAAGGTACGTGATATCTATATATAGGTACTAGGATTTTAAATTGGTTCTTTAATAAAGTTAGTTCGCCACTTTTTGTGTCTTTGTAAAATCAGTGATTAATAACTATTCGTAGACTGATTTCGAAATGACGAGTAACGACCATATTATTCACATTATTATTATATGTATAACTCACCGACTGAACGTGTTTATGATATTATAATATAGCGTAGTCATATGAAAACCGTCGTTGGAAATTATTATTAGTATTATTATTATTATAATATAATACAAGGCGAGACGGACCGAGTAAACGAATGAGAGACGGATGGAAATAATGGAGAAACGGCGAGGAATGGTGAGACAGAGTGAGAGAGTTGAGTTGTCCGAATGGTGTTGTGGTATCGTGCCCGAGGCGGAGGCGGGGGTGAGGACGGGAGGCGAATAATGACTTTATAATGTAATTATGGCCGGGTGCCGAGGGCTTTACAGTCGTTAACATGGATCAACAGCCAGAGGTTAAACCTCTCGAACACTCCGGTGGATATCAAAACGGCCACTTAATTCGTCGTATTGTTTCCCTCAGGGCCGTGTGTTTCGACCAGATTGCGAATGGCCCAAAACCACTGTTTCTCGACTGTATTATTATTATTATTATTATTATTATTATACTTAGCTTCCATACCACCACGCGATGATATGATAATATCGCGTAGGAATGCATATACGCTTACTATCGTGGGAGTTGTATTATAGTATACATTTTCACCAATCTGTCTTGGCGGAGGAGAGAAAAAATGTTATCTACCCCCCACACGGTCAACCGCTGCAGGATTATTACAACTCGACTCCGTGTGCACATACGCACAGGCATACACATACCACTATACGTGATTTATCAATATATGGTAACTTACTGGAGTATGTATTATATATTATTATTATTATTATTATAGACGTGAACCGTGGATTTTCCCCTCGGTAAACACTCGCGTATAATATTGTATATATATCGTAATATATAGATCGGCGAGCGCGTTCGTTTGACGGTGATATTTGCTCGGTCGCAGACTTGGGGCGACGGCACCCATAACAAATAACACGCGGGCTACAACACTATATAAATAGGTACCTACAGTATGGGTAGTACAATATTATAATATTATGTGGGTTATACGCATAGGCTGTGGCACGTTTCCGATAGGTACCTACGAACGCCGTTCGGAAACAAATTTTGCAATCAACCTTATAGGTAATTATTTTTAGTATAACACAATAATAATATTATTATGCCGAATAATATTACCTATAATATACATAATACTATTTATTGGATATTTAGATACTAAACAGGTGTTTCGAGCATATTTAACGATATATTTATTCGAGCTACACTTTTATAATATAGATATATGCTGGTCGACGACCACCACGACTGGGATTTTCAGTTAGATTTTTTACCGTTATCATTTTTTTGTGCATAACTATACACACCTATATACGTTTATACGATTATAATCTTCTTTATATATTATACAAATGATAGTGAGTATGTAAATATAAACATTACAGTGAAATCTCTCGCAATGGACACCCCTGGATAGCGGACACCTACGAATAGTGAACTAAATTCCAGCGAGGGTCCGCTATTTAACGGTTTCGCTGTACCTAACTGGAATCGCTATCAACTGACATCAAATTTTGTATACATATTCCTTGAAATATTAAATAAATATTCACCAAAATCTAATATAAATTTTTTTTTTTTTTTATATATATGTAAATGACTATCATTCGTTACGAAAATAAATTAGAATTTTGTACATTATATATATGTATACACACACATTCAAAAACTGCTCGACCGATTTTGACGAAAATTGTTGTGATTGTTCTTGGAAAATCAGGAAAGTTTGGAGAGTACCTTCTACCTATACCTAGTTTGAGCCGTGTTCGAAAATATACGAAGTGCTATATCCAATCCACTAGACAGACGGT